GCACACGCACACGCACACGCACACGCACACGCACACGCACACGCACACGCACACGCACACGCACACGCACACGCACACGCGCACGCGCACGCGCACGCGCACGCGCCCACGCGCACGCGCACGCGCACACGCACACGCACACGCACACGCACACGCACACGCACACGCACACGCACACGCACACGCACACGCACACGCACACGCACACGCACACGCACACGCACACGCACTCGCACACACACACGCCCAGGAGCGTGCTGCTTCGCCGCAATCTTGGGCATCTTACCGATCTGTCGGCGAGGTATCGCCCGCCGGTTTCAGATCGATGCACCCCCCCCCGGAGCTGGTCCCCCCTCGCGTTGCCCCTCATCTCTTCGGCCAAGTCAAGCTGGCTTCCTGCTCGGTCATTTGTGAATCCCCGCTGCGTCGCTCATGGGTGGAAAGCATTCGAAAACTGGAACATATACACAGAACCAGTGGCGGGCTGCTTTTCAACCCCAGGACTTTTGGAGGCTCGGGGGACGACGTCGGGGTGGTGTGGTGTACATTTTTCCCCCTTCTCCCGGAGAAGCAACGGCAAATGTATTCACCAGGACCCCAAATACACTTGGCTCCGTTTTCCTGCGCGAAAAGGCGTCGGTGTATAGAGTCCGTTTCCCCAAACATATCCGTATCCACGGACTTGCGGGCTGGTGGGCCCTTGGGCCGCGACCTCGCGGATACAGGGTTTTTTGCCCATATGCCCCTGGCCAGAACGTGCTCATGCGACCACGTATCCACGGGATAGCGTAGCGCCCCGGAATCCAGACCGCGAGGGCGAGAATTTGAATGCTTTCCCAGTTCTCCGACGGCTTGAGCTTCTCAAGGCGAGGCCCCCGAAAGTTCTGACCCTCTGCTTTGGGCCGGCGCGTGGTTCTCACACGTCTCGCGATCGCGAGGGCGTCGTTTTGGACACGTTCGCCGCTCCGCCGTCGCTCGCGCTCCTCCGCGGCTCCTTTTCTTCGGCGGCGAGCGAGTGGGGGAAGTGAGAAGGAGAAGGCCTTCTCGGAAGGTTCGGAAGTCCCCCGGCCTTCTGAGAAGCTTTCTGAGCCTTCCCCGAAGTCACGAAAACCTCTCAGAGGGCGCGAGGGCTTCTGAGAAGCCCCGCCGTCTTCTGAGAAGGCACTTTCCTCCTCTTCCCCCCCTCGCTCGTCGCCGATTTGTCGCGCCGCGATGCCGGCGCGCGCAGGTGCCGGGCGCGGGGGACGGGGACCCGAGGAATAAGAAGAAGGTGGACGGCCTCGCTGGCATCTGGCACGCCCCCGGCTTCGGGCAGGCGCAGCGGCGCGCTCCCCCGGGAGTGGGGAGCGAGACTCTGGGGCCGCGCCGGGGGCAGGGGAGAAGCGGGTCTCGTGCAGGTGGAGGCCCATGCCAAGACACACCCTGCTTGCCTCCAGGGTGCCCTGGATTTCTTGGGTTTCGAGGTTTTTGCTGTGGAAACCGTGACGTTCCCACACCAGAAGTCCATGAACGTCCTGGGGTCTCAGGGTTGGGTATCTTGTGGAAGGTTTCTTGTGGTCGGGCCCCTACTGCAAGTGTTTTTGTTTACCCTCTGGCGCGTAACGGCTGTTACCCCGGGCCAAGCCTCACCGAGCGCGTTCCATTGTTCACAGCGTCCGGAAAAACACACACACACACACGCACACACACACAACACACACACAACACACACAACACACACACACACAACACACACACAACACACACAGAACACACACAACACACAACACACACAACACACACAACACACACAACACACAACACACACAACACACACAACACACACAACACACACACAACACACACAACACACCACACACAACACACCACACACAACACACACAACACACACAACACACACAACACACACAACACACACAACACACACACACAACACACACACAACACACACAACACACACAACACACACAACACACAACACACA